ATCCCAACCCCAATCCCGATCCTGACCCCGATCCCAACCCCGATCCCAATCCCGATCCTGACCCCAATCCCAACCCCGATCCCAATCCCAACCCCGATCCTGACCCCGATCCTGATCCTGACCCCGATCCCAACCCCAATCCTGATCCCAGTCCTGATCCCGATCCCGATCCCAACCCCAATCCCGATCCCAACCCCAATCCCAATCCTGATCCCAACCCCGATCCCAATCCCGACCCCAACCCCGATCCCAATCCCAATCCTGATCCCGATCCCAATCCCAACCCCAAATCCAATCCCAAATCCTGATCCCAATCCCAGTCTCAATCCCAATCCCAATCCTGACCCTGAACCCAATCCCAGTCTCAATCCTAATCCCAACCCCGATCCCAATCCCGATCCCAAATCCCAAATCCCGATCCCGAATCCCGATCCCGAATCCCGATCCCAAATCCCGATCCCAAATCCCAATCCCAAATCCCAATCCCAAATCCCAAATCCCGATCCCAAATCCCGATCCCAAATCCCAAATCCCGATCCCAAATCCCGATCCCAAATCCCAAATCCCAAATCCCGATCCCAAATCCTGATCCCAATCCCAAATCCCAATCCCAAATCCTGATCCCAAATCCCAAATCCCGATCCCACATCCTGATCCCAAATCCCGATCCCAATCCCAAATCCCAAATCCCAAATCCCGATCCCAAATCCAAATCACTCTCACCTTCTCCCTCTGCTCCTTCTCCTTCCGTCGCTGTTTCTCCGTTTTCCTGCCCGGCTGTTGCCGTTGCCGGGGCTGATCCCGATTTTCCTCCTGCTCTTCCTCCTCCTCCTCCTCCTCCTCCTCCTCCTCCTCCAGGAGCCCCTGCAGCTGCTCCTGCAGCACGGCCTCCTGCAGGACCCCAAATTCCAGAGCTCACATCCCAAATCCCGGGCTCACATCCCAAATTCCAGAGCTCACATCCCAAATCCAGAGCTCACATCCCAAATTCCAGAGCTCACATCCCAAATCCAGAGCTCACACCCCAAATTCCAGAGCTCACATCCCAAATCCCGGGCTCAGATCCCAAATTCCAGAGCTCAGATCCCAAATTCCAGAGCTCACATCCCAAATCCCAGAGCTCAGATCCCAAATTCCAGAGCTCAGATCCCAAATTCCAGAGCTCAGATCCCAAATCCCGGGCTCACATCCTAAATCCCGGGCTCACATCCCAAATCCCGGGCTCACATCCCAAATTCCAGAGCTCAGATCCCAAATCCCGGGCTCACATCCCAAATTCTGGAGCTCAGATCCCAAATTTTGGTGCTCAGATCCCAAATTCTGGAGCTCAGATCCCAAATTCCAGGCTCAAATCCCAAATTCTGGTGCTCAGATCCCAAATTTGGGTGCCCAGATCCCAAATTTTGGCGCTGAGATCCCGGATTCCGGAGCCCAGATCCCAAATTTTGGTGCTGAGATCCCGGATTCCGGAGCCCAGATCCCAAGTTCTGGTGCTGAGATCCTGGATTCCGGAGCCCAGATCCCGAATTCCGGGCCCACTCCGGAATTCCCGAGCTCCCACCTCCGAGGGCGGCTCCTCGGTGACCTTCAGCCTCCGCTCCACCTTCTCCTCCTCCCTCCTCCTCCTCGTCTCCACCTCCAGCGCCCGCAGCAGCAAATCCTGGGAAAAGAACGGCACGGGCTCACCCCAAAACCCACCCAGGACCCCCAAAAACCCCCCAAAACCCACCCAGGACCCCCCAAAACCTCCTCAGAACCCCCAAAACCCCCAAAAAACACCTCAGAACCCCCCAAAATCCCTCCCAATCCCCCAGGAGCCCCCAAAATCCCCTCACGACCCCCCAAAACCCACTCAGGACCCCCCAGAACCCCCTCAGGACCCCCCAAAATCCCCTC